CAAGGATTTTGCCATGCTTGCAGAACTCACTAGATCATTATTTCTGTAGACATGATGTTTCACACTGAAAGGTCACGAAATGTTTTAAAGGAGAAATTTATGATTGCTCTTTGATATGTATCATCCACTTAGTTTGAAAGGGTAGGGCTTCAATAATTTTTAATTAAGTCTAGTAGCTGCATCGTAAGCAAGTCATACTGGAAAGTTATAGCTGTTTATATAGTAAATCATAAGGGCATGAATTCAAAACATAATTTTTTAAAGTTTTATTTTGTTTTTAATTGACACATAATTGTGCATATTTATGGAGTACAGTTTGATGTTTCAATACAATGTATACATTGTGTAATAATCAGTTCAGGGTAATTAGGATATCTATCACCTCAAACATTTATCATTTCTTTATAGTGAGAGCAATCAGAATTCTCTCTTGTAGCTATTTTGAAATATGTAATACATTATTACAAAACATAATTTTAAATGGAAACCATAAAGGAGACTCTGTCAATCAATGTGGGATCTGGTGCTATTTGTCTTTGTTAATGACATTTATAAAAATGGATTAATTATATGAAATATTTAATGAGGAATTTATCCTTCAAAGTCTATTTATTGAGTCCTTAATATTTACTGAACACTGAAACACATTTTCTCTTATTCAAAATAAGACTTTCATAATTCTGAGCTATTTAAAAAATGAATTAGCAACTATCTCTGCAGGAAGTTTTAAAGTATGTTTACCTGCCAATTAGATAATCCTTTATAATTCTACACAAAAGTAGACCTTTCTATTATTCTTCAAGGGTTAGTGCTTTGTATCTGTCATAAATCTTAATTTTCAATGGATCAGAAAATTGCTGTGATAACTTTAAAGGAAAATACTACATTAGGAAAATGATATATGGAGTGTTTAGACATGAAATTATATGATTCTCTGGGAAATAACTTACAGGACAAGTCCATGTTCAAAGCGTATCTAGATTTATGAAATACATGCTGCAGCCTATATTTTTGTTTATCTCAGTCATAACTTCACCTTTAAACATTATACTAAAGATTAGATAACCTCTTGTAATTAATAAGGATAGATTAGGTTGTGCTGCAGTAACAGACAGCCTAGATGTTCAGGAGCTTAAAAGAAAAAAGGTTTATTTATTTCTTCCTCATGGGAATTTAGCTACAATTTTGGGTAATTCTCCCAGGCAGTTTGTCCTCCATGAAACAGGTGCGTGCATGTCCTCCAGCATTGCACCACCTTATGAAGACACCTGCTTCCACAATCTTCATGCCAGAAGATACTTGGAGAGTTTATCTGTTGATTTAAAAGCATCAGCAATTAAATTCTGCCATCTAGTAGTTATTTATGTCATTTTTCACACTTCAGTGTTAAAACAAGTCATATAACCACACCTAACTTCAAGGGGAATGGGGGGAATATAATCCTACTGTGTGTTAGAAAGAGAAGAGTACTGGCTAGTGGTCTTGCCCCTGATTTACTCGGTCTTCTTATTCTGTATCTGTGTCTATATTTATAC